ATGAGAAAGTAAGTGAGAAAGTAAAGGTGAGAACAGTAGAAAGGGACGCAGGGGACCAAGCAAGAGAGCAAGATTGGAGCAACCAAGCAAAGGAGGGAAATTTATGTAAAATATGTGCTATTTCACAACAAAATAAAATTTTAATGTCTTTATTGACACTCTAATATAAGTTTAATGTCAATCTATGAAGCATGGACATTTCAAAAATCCTTTAATTTCCATGTCAGATAGGTGTCAGAGATGGACATGCCTCCAACAAGCCCTGAAACATCTACGTCACGGTGAAAATCATATATTATTTATTTCTATCAATACTAGAGTCAAACACAATCAAGATGGAACCTAACACGATAAGTACACACTTTGACAAAGCCAAGACACGCCCCAACATAAGTCAATGGACCATATTAAAGAGGATAATGGTATTAGTGGTGATGAAGACATAATAACACTAGTATTGCATTACGATTTCAATGTGTTAGGTTAATTAGTAGTACATTTATGTGTTCATTATTTTTAGATAATTTTAAGATTATATACTTTTTTTTTTTTTGCCATTTTCTGAGAATAAAAGAAACTTAATATTAACAAAGACATGCTTAATGATTAATTTTAAGGGCACAACCTAAAGGCAGGGTGGCAAAACCTAAGGGAAGCATCAGAGAGGGGGCATGGGTTCGGAGAGAGGGGTTGCAGGGAGCACGAATGGGAATTCAATTTTGAACGAATGGAGTGTATTTCAAATGCATGGAAAAAAACATTTTTTTTAGGAATGTCTAATACCTCAAAAATTTACTTAGAATTTATGCTACTTTAAACCAAATAGAAAAAGTATAAATGAATGCAAAAGAAATACAATATAACTATTTTACTTTATACCAAACAAAATCTAAATAACTCCTCTTTAAAGCTCACAAAACACTGGAGCATTTTTTGAGAACATATGCTAAGTTATGACCTATTCAAGTTCCAAATATTAGACACTCGTGCAAGATCTACATTACTGTTATAAGAGGCCCGCTACTTAATCATGGATAGAACACTACATCATTAGCCTTCACAAGATAGAAATAGCAATCAATACTTGAAAAAAATATTTATTCCCTTCAAATTAAAATGCTATGATGAACTTTCACTAAACTTCTATCAGCCCCTCGTGAACAAACAAATGGAAGAAATCAAACCAACCTGCTTTGCTAATGGTGGTTTCTATAATAATTTCTCCTACAATGATTGGATAAGCGGATGACCCAAATTAGACCTAATAAGATTTATGAGTTTATTTGTCATTATTGAAATTGTGTAAAATGTTTAGAGTCATATTTACATTTACTTGGGTCAAAAGGGAACTTGTGATTTGAATTTGGAATGATATTTTCAAGTTGAGATCCGCCCTTGGGAGCGATACGACACTGTGAAGTAGCATTGTGAAACCATGCTCTCTATTTTGATTTTTGAGTTTCTAAAAGTTTCTTTGGGAGCATTGCAGAGCTAGGAAGCAGTGCTTTGGCGCTAGTCTTTCTATTTGAGAGCATTGCAGCGCTAAATCTATAAATATCAAATTTCATTCTCTTTGAGAAGTAGCTGGTTGGAGACCGGTTGGAGAGAGAAAGAGAAGAATTCTAGCGAGAGAAAGTTGCATTTGGAGGTCTTTGAGTCAATTTCACATGTTAGTTAGTTGAAGAAGCTCTTTGACTTAAGATAGGATACCTTTTCCCTACTTTAGTTTTTAATTTGGGGCTTTCATATGTGAGTTTTGGTTTGTTATCTGGTTAAATTTTATACAATCTCAATTTTATAAAGCTTGGGAAATTTTCCATGGTGTCGTTTTTGGTATTTCGTAGTATAGTGTATCATAAGCATGTTAACAGGAAAAACTTCAAATTTCACATGGTAGTTTTGAATATGTGGCATTTCATGTGTTGTGGTGAAAATAATGACATGCATAGGAACTGTTGTAAAACGATAAAAAACCCATGTGACGTTATAAATGTTGTTTATGAATGTTTTTATGTTTTACAAATGTTGAGCATGTGCACATTTATTTCCCTAAATGCAGTGGTACATGTGAAAGTTTGTACATTCATGTATCATGTTATATATTATTCATATATGTTGAAAGTGTTAATAGTACTTTTCATATATGTTGGAAATGTTGATGTTGCGGACCGTAAATATTAAGAATGTTGATGTCATGTGTTTCTAATAGACATTGAAATCCGTGTTAATATTAATGTTCATATATGTTGAGAATGTTGATGATATGTGTTGCTAATACATGTTGAAAATGCAAATAATTCTATGTTCATGTGTTTGAAATGTAAGGGGAAAGCTTCGGGAACATGTATACAAGTGGGTATATAACTAGAAATGAAGTTATAAAAGCTTCAAGAAATGTATATAAGTGGAAGTGGAGATACAAGGAGGCTTCGAGAAATGTAAATGTATGTTATATGTTATTTCATGCTACGCTGCTTACATTCTGATATCAAGTTCAAGTAAATGTTTATGTTATGAAGTTATGTTCATATTTTTGCGCAATGCTACTTCTGTTTTGAATTTATGTTCAAGTACTGTATAAGTTGTTACTATTGGTATATATATATATATACTTTTACCGCATATTTCATTATGATACTAAATTGTTAGGCACACAGTTTAAAACAAACATTAAGATAGTTCACTTTAAATATGAATTATTGTTTATGCAATATAGAATAGTACAGTTTTTCATATAATAAGTATTGAACTCTTTAATAATAGATTTTGAATAACCTATTGAGCAAGTGTTTTGCTCACCTTTTGTATTTGCATTTATTTTCAAGAAAGTATAAAGCACCAGTTGAGTAAATTATATTGATAGAGACTATTGACCCAAGCTGAGAGCTGGATTTAAGTACGTTCATTGTGGGTTTTTTTCTATGAGGTCATAAGCATATTTATGTTTTTGATAAAAAGTAAGTTAAGTAATGATTTATGTGTATTATTTTTTAAAATTACAGTTTAATGAAATGAAATAAAATTGATATTTTATTTCTATTTATTTCGATGAATTAGTTGGCTCTATGTTATATATGTTGAAGAATATAAAATAAAAAAAATCCTTCAAATTAGGTCTTAGGAAGTATTAGGTTTGCTATCATAGGCTTGACACGGAGCAACTCACTTTGGAATAGTTGGTTGTATCGGGTTAGGCTGTGTCAGTTTCAACTCAAAGATTCTACTACATTTACATGGGAAACATCATAATTGGAATGTTGGGAACAAGAGCTCATCAAACCCCAATAGCATAAATAAAGTCTAGCAACTATAAAAATTAATGTAACGCAGTTATACAAGAAAGAAACTTCAACCTACTATAGCATATCTCCCTTTCAACAAAAAGGAATGCAGCACCCATTCACCCATCCAAAATCAATCCATTCTACTGAAGAAAGAAATAACTAACAAGAAATGCTCAAATAAGGGAACATAAAAAATAGAGCTCTCAAAACAAACCAAAACATGTCATAGGCGCATTCAGCAAACACTTGAACAAAACTCATCATCATCGTCAACCTTCTCAGCACTATTTGGGTTAGTTTTCTTAATCTGCATTATCCATTTGTCCCCACGTAGTGTTACATCAAATGCTAAATATATTTTGCAAGGCTTCTACCCAAGTTACATTTGATCTGCACCTATTTATTCATCCTTTGACAACAATTTAACCTACCACCTTATTAGTGCATCTTCTACCCTTCTCAATATATGCTCAAACCACGCAAACCTATTTTAATAAAAATATCTTTAAGACATTTTTTCTTAGTATGCAAAAATCAAATATCATGATACCGGCTATATGTTGCCTTAAGATCAATCAAAATCATATGAAATTTATTTATTCGCTCTTTATATTTTTCAATAGTTGCCTTGGCATAGAAGCGACACCCATAGTGAATCACTCTAACAAAAAAAAAATGATTATCCAATATTTCTATAAACTTTATAAAACTATGTTTCACTACCCTCTCTGACCATTTAGTTGCATGGCCCATACTACTATTTGATTTATTGAAATGTTGGCATGTGAAATTTGTGAGCTTGGTAAGGCCAAAGTTGGGCTGCCAATGATGACAAAATAAAATTTTGCCTAGGTCTTCTCAAAACAAAACAAACACATAGCAAAAAATAAAATAAAATTTGAATTTGACCATACTTCATCCAACCTATCCTTAAAATTGAATTGTGTGATTCATTAACACACTTATTTGCCATAAGCTGTAGCTTCAAGTTTCATGTTTCAAGAAAATCATCATATACCCCTAAACATTCTCGTATTGAGCATAATTTCACATTTAAATAGTGGCTCAATAAATTGATTAACGTTTAGTAACATCATGGAGACCAATAATCCTTGTTCCCCATTAGGAAAGAAAAGGTATTTCTTCGGATGATCGCTGACGTTTTAAGTTTAGTAATCTCCAGGTTTTACTCCTTAAATATAAGGTTTGCTTCCTGTTGTTTGACTTACTCCATTTCCAATGAAATTTTGGTAGATTCCACAAGAATACAAAGAATGTAAATTACCTTAACATCTCTTAAATATAAATTTCATGCGAAACTGTAATTTCCATATATTTACATGCCATGGCAGACCGTATCCCAATTATTTTTAGATTTTAGAACTTCTTTCTTGATACACCTAAACTTGCATATAAGCAGCCCCAACCTTAGCAAACACAAAAATTTGATCACGAACGCACACCAGATTAACAAAGATCAGGCCCTGGATTAAAAGAAAGCTGAGTTTTTGACATAACCCATCAAATATTTGTAAAAAATGCCAGGGCCTGCAAACTAAAATTTAAAATAGCTCATAGTTTCAGAGTCAATTATTAATCAATTTGTAGTAAAATTCTCAAGCCAGACATAAGGAGCAAAAGAGAAAAGAGAGGCAAGAAAGCAGCAAAAAAAAGTAGCAAATTTTACATAAATAATAACTGACAATACAAATTCACCTGTTGATGATAATCGACCTGCACTGCGTCACTCTGGCCATCTGGGGGCTGCTCGCTAGGTTGAGAAACTAGCATTTGGCAAGCAGCATTGTACTTGCCCACTGCGGCAGCAACATCAACTGGAGCTTTCATCTCAGGGGTCGTCGTGTAGTAGTCTGAAACCATAATCTTGTTCAACTTTTCCCTCAGGCCAGCATCTATAGAATAGCAAAAGTTAAATAAATATAAAGCAAGATATATCAAAGTAAAAGGAATGACTTACAGGTAACAGAGGATCCCGAAATTATGGGCTCCTGGGCTCCCTCTAGCCAGAGTTTAGCGTGCTGAATACAACCCTCGAGTGCGCTCCGGTGAGATATCCCAGAATAGAGCGGCCTTGATGTAACCAACCCTCCGAGAGTAGAAATCATATCGAGATCTTTCTCCCCAAGCAGCTCGGTGGCCTCGTCCGTGACATAATCGTACGTCAGGCAGCACCCGCGCTCGTGATTCCTCGTCAGCATCATCGATGTGAACTCGCTCTGGGGCTTCACATCGAAGAGACAGCCAAAGTAGAGTAGCGCTAGTAAGCTATCTACGGCGGAATCAATCGATGAAGTGTCCTCCGCCGCCACGGGCATGAGATTAGGTTTACCAGATGGTGAACAGGAGGCGGCGAGGGCGACCTCCTCCTGGACGGCAGCAGCGAGCGGCAGCCGAAGCTTGTCGTACTCATCAATAAGTGCAACAACGCCGGGCTTTGACCGAAGAACTTCTTCCTGCTCCTTGTTTAAGGTTTTTCCCTGTACAAGGCTAGCCTCCATCTGAAGAATTCGGTTATACTTCTTCCGCAACGCGCGCAGCCGTTTGTTCATCAGACTCAAAACGGGCCCCTCCGCCGCCGCCGCCGCCTCAGAACCAGAAGTTGACGATACCGACGCCATTGAAGCAACAGACTCAGCAATCTCCCAAGCGATATTACTCGCCTCTCAGAGGAGACCTCTCAGAGACTGTATATGTAGAGCTATCAATGAAGGAGTGGAATTGGAGACGACTCAATGAAATATATGAGTGGTAGGAATTAGGAAAGAAATATGAGTGACATATTGGATATTAAAATAATATAAGATGGTATGTATGTAATATTAAAATTATGAGTATTATATATGTAAATAAGATGGTATAAAATGATATGTATGTAAATTTTACTATATTATTTATGAATATTTAGATCAGTCAAAATAAATTAGCGTACATATTATATAAATAAGTTTCAAATTAAAAATTTTTTGTTGATAATCAAAACTCTCAACTAATAAATCAAGATAATTTATTTTATAATCTCTTTCTATTTCTCTCTTTTTTTTCTTTTCATATTACAACTAATAACCACTCATTTATAATTGAATCCATTTGACATCTACAATTGATTAATTAGAGTAAAATTGTTAAATAAACAATATGAAAATATAATTAAATTACTACTACCAACCCCATTCACACCGAGCTTCATCAGCGACCTCACGCCCTGTCCTGTTCTCATGCGAGCTCCTTTCGTGACCTCATGCCCCGCCCCATCCACAACCTCAAGCCCAATTACATTTGCGACCTTACGCCCAATTCCATCCACACGTTCAGAGACAGCCTCTTTCTTGTCTTTTAAAGGATGTTGAAGAAACCAAATGGAAAAAACAATTGAATGAGTACCATTTGATTATCTTAAAAAATCATTTGAATTGTTTCAGAGAAGTATTTGAGTGATAACCCTTAATATAATACGTAAGAAATTATAAAACTTGCGTCAAATAATCATTCATGACATGTTTAAGTTATAAACGTTGAACCCTATATTTTTGTAAGCAGGAGGTTACTGTGCAAGCTTCAATGGCTACAAAAGAATTCGTGCAAATCAGATAACTTAAATAAAATCAAAATTATCATCATTATCTAGCCTCATGTTGTGAGCTTCTTATCTTTGTCTGAAATCATATAAAATCACATAATTAGCATAAAAGTCCAACAAATAACTAAAAATTATCGATGTATTCAATGCATGCCAAAAGATTCATTATGATTGTTATAGTCCTAACCAATATTAATCATCATCTAATACGCGTAATATGAAATATCTATAATTGTGAATAAAATCAATATGACTAGTAATGTCAAAAGAGATCTATCAAATTATAAGATAAATTGCTAAATAATACTATCACCTAATGAGCAATATCAATATGTTATGCTATGTTGTATCAATATCATTGTCAATACAATTTCTATTTTATTTATTAATCGGTTTAATGTACTCTGATGTAAATATTATCATGGAAATAATAATGAAAGTCAAGGCAGAATAATTCACCTTTAATGTATTGATTCATTTTTACACATGTTATATGTTATATGTATCAATATGGCAATCTTATATTATATTTCATTATTTCTATTAATAATTTTTTTCACGCCTGGCTTTCAATAATTATTTAACATTTATCACCCTCTACACATCAATGTAATTTGATCAATCAGTTACAGGCTACAATTATGATTACACCATCTACTTTTTATTTAAAAGAAAGCTCATTGTCTCACCCTCATGCCCATTAATTATAATGTTAATAGTTAGCCTTCATTGCTTATATTTAAATGCTACATTTTTATGTGCAATATAATTCAGTATCATACATGAAATACATTAATTCATAAAATGCAATAAAATATATCAAAATTGTATGCTAAACATTTACTTCAAAAAAACACATCTTCTAATTTATTAGGTGAAAATTTAATATGTTTCAGTCAAAATGCTCATATTGATGACATTTATCACATACAAAAAATTATGCAGTGAAAATTTGCTAAAAATTAAGATATCATAATTTTTGCAAAACCAAATTAAAATTCTTAAAACAAGAAATACATAAGTTTACAAAACGGACATACTGACATGTGTTAATTTTATACACTATCTTGGAAGAAAATTATTATATATAATTAAAGCACAATAATAGAATATACATGACGGTAGAGTTAGATTTTCTTATCTTAGCATTGTACAGATATCCAGCATAAACATAAGAAAATGGAAATGCCATATTTTTACATAGAAACCCAGGAACAAGGAAAAACCACGAGGCCACGCTCAGTTGAAATAATTCCACTAGTATTTGAGAAAATTATAAGCGTCTGATTCATCCTTGAAATTGAGGACGATCAGATTATAATAGTCAAAAGTCGAATTGAAATCAGAAGGTCAGATAGAAGTCCAGAGTTAGTCCATGACAGTCCATAAATCCGACGTCAGTTGGCATCCGTCGATGGCCGGGCAGAAATCTAGAGTTAATTAGCTGTTAGGTAGAAGTCCGAGATTCGTCGGTAGTCGGACAGAAATTTGGCGGAAGTTGGTGGTCAAGCTGAAGTTCGATGGTGGTCGAGGAGGAGTCTAGTGGAAAAATAACTCTCTTTTTGCTTGTTTCTCCTCTCATGAGAAACGATGGGTCTATTTATAATTTGTTGAGAGTGACATGACTAGTAAAAAGGAGGAAGATCAAGGGTAAAGTTAGAGTGGTTTGAATAGACGATCAATGTTGATCCCCTTGATTATAAACAATTTATTGGGCATTTGAATGTCTTAATGATATCAAAATTTGGCAATTTTAAGCTCATTGGATTTGTCTCGTTGAGTCGCTACTTCGTGCCTGTAGTCCCTGTGTCAGAATCTTTCGACTCTCTGGCTAGCTAGTCAATCGAATCATATAAGCATGTTACATTTGGAAAATATTTGGCAATCCAAATTATGGTTTGAACTTCCCAAATGTGTTTCAGGTCTTTGATTTTGACCCATTTGGGCTCGGATTGAGTCGAATTTGGTGTCGTTGGGTTTGTATTTCTGAGATGTTCAATTCAACTATAAGTTTATTGAAATCGGAGTTCAGATGATACCATATTTAATTTTTAAAGTTTCCAATTTGATTTTGCTTCGAGATTCTTGCCCGATCAAAAAGATCAAAGTCATGGTGGGAGTGTTCTATCAGATGAACCATAGTAATTCTCTTTATCATGAAGAGTTTATTTAGCATTTAAGTGTCTTAATCATGTCAGAATTGAGTGATCTTGAGCTCTTTGGATTCATCTCATCAAGCCGCTCGGTTTGATTATAAGCATGTCATATTTGGATATTTCTTGGTAGTCCAATTAATGCTCTAAAGCTTCCAAATAGACTTTAGACATTTGATTTGGGCTTGGATTGGATCAAATTTGATGTCGTTGGGTTCGTCTCCTTGAGATGTTCAATTTGGCTATAAGGTTGCTAAAATTGGAGATCATATGGTCTTAATTTATTTTTTAAAGCCTCAATCTCATTTTTACATCGATAGTTGTGCTTATTAAGACGAATTATTGGTGACATATTAGTAATATATTTGAAATTATTTGCATGAAATAAATGTAGAAATTAATATATTATTATTTTTTTAATTTGACTTAAAAGTAAAATGAATGTAATGAAAAGCTAAAAGATGGGGCTGCCCAACAACAAGCAGGAGGTTGCGAGCTATGGTGGCTGACGGGTAGCACAATTGCGACATCGAAGGCATTGGGTAGTTGTGATCAGTAGTAGCGAGAAGCGGCAAATGATGATGGGCAAGAGGTGATGACCGATGAGAAATTGCAACTGCATTAAAAGATAATTTAATAATTTATAAGATATTTAAAAATCAACTAAATTTAATGATTTTTAAATACACAAAATTAAATTGTTTGGTGCGTTCGAAATATTTTAAACTTTTATTCTTCACTTATTTTTATTTCACTAAAAATCCCAATCTATTTAAAATTTTGTATTTGAAATAATTTACACCCCCCCCCCTTTTCAACAGCAAATCGACAACAATTAAAATTTACCACTCCGCCCTGGTTGACATCAATAATATGATTTTCAACAATAGGCTTGTGGATTTGCATTCGGTTGGGTGTAATTTTACTTGGTTTAACCAGCGCTCCGATAATCCTATTTATATCAAGCTTGATAGGGCCCTTGTCAATTCGGCTTGGTTGAACACCTTCACTAGTTCTTACTGTTCTTTTCAAAGTCTGTCTTGCTCGGATCATTGTCTCATTATTCTACACCCTGGAGTTAGCATCCAGTCTCATCATAGATTAATGTTCAAGAACTTCTGGACTAAGAAGGACAAATATTGGGCTCTTATCTTAGAGGTTTTCTCCAAGCCTTTTTTTGGTAACCCTCTTTCTTACATTTGTAATGTCCTATGCCACTTAAAAGGGGACATCAAAAAAGAAAATTGGGCCAATTCCAATGGTATTTATATGCAACTTGATACCCTTCAGGCTAAGCAATTGGAAATGATGGGGTTGATTCAGCTTAATCCTTTGGATGCATCTCTCAGCTTATCTCTTAAAAGCACCATTGTAAGTATTTCTGAATTGTCCTCCATGCTAGCTTCTTGGATTATTCAAAGGGCCAAAGTCAAATGACTTAATCATAGCGAGGATGATCTTAAGTTTATATACGCTAAAATTAGAAAAAGAAGGGGCTGCTCTGTCACGACGATCCTGATTTCGTCCAGACGAACCATACAGCCAAAACTGATTTTCTGCACAACCTGTACCGATCGTCCCGGACGATCCAACTTCGTCCCGGACGAACCTGGAGCAAAAACTGATATTACATGCTCTATGTCTGTTGTTAACTTGCTAGCTTGTGACCCCAAATCCTCTAGGTCTGAAGTGCTCAATTCCATTCTTAAGTATTTTCAGGATCTATATAACCCCTCTCCCCTTCTAATATGAATATGGTGATTTTCCCTGTGGGTGTTCCTCTTCCGGATTGCTATGTTAGTTCTATCATCTCTTATGTCACGGATGATGAAATCAAAACAGATGTTTTTAAAGGCTCTTCCAATTCTGCTCCGGGCCCGGATGGATTCAACTTTTACTTCTACAAATCAGCATGACACATCATAGGTCCTTCTATTTGCAAAGCCATCATATCATTTTTTCTAAAAGGGTATATGCCTCCTGGGGTAAAATCAACAGCACTTGCTATTATTCTTAAACATAAAAATGCTGCTACTATTTCTGATTATAGGCCTATTGCTCTTTGCAATACACTATATAAAATCATTGCTAAGATAATTGCTGCTAGACTTAACCAAATTATGCCGATTATTATTAAAGATAATCAAGCTAGATTTATTAAATCCAGAATTTATACTGATAACATTTTGCTTGCCAAGGATATTCTCCATTCATATAGCAGAAGGGGAGGAAGTAATATGTTCTGTGCCAAAATTGACATTAAAAAAGCCTTTGACTAAGTGTCAAGGGAATTTTTATAAGGCCGTATGGTTCAAAAAAGTTTTCCTAACCTTTTTCATTAGCTGGATTAAAGCTTGTATTACTGATGTGAATTTCTCCATTGTCATTAATAGTGCTCTGGAAGGCTATTTTCCGTCCACTGCTGGACTTAGACAAGGGTGTCCTCTCAGTCCTTACCTCTTTTGTTTGGTCATGGATGCGTTTTCGAATCTTCTTGAGGAGAGATGTTTTAAAGGCTTTAAGTATGATGATTTTTATCTTTCTCATCTTCTATATGCGGATGATGTATTGATTTTTGGGGAGGCTAACATAGACAACTGCAACAAATTAGCCATCATTCTTAGTGAATTTGCTAATGCTTCTGGATTACATGTTAATTTTGATAAATGCTCTATCATGTTTTCTAAAAACCAGAAGAATCAGGACAAAATATGCCAAGCTCTCTCTATTTTCAAAATTTGTCATAAGATCACCTATCTTGGTATCCCTTTATCATTTTACAAGCTCAAAATTGAAGATTTTTTGCCTCTTGGATAATATTCATAAGAAGTTGACTGGGTGGAAGGCTAACTTGTTATCTTTGGAGGGTAGGCTGCAATACCTCAAATTTACCATTCAAAATACTATCTCCTATTGGATAAGAGGCTCTATTTTACCTAAAACTGTTCATAAATTGTTCAAGAAATCTTTTTCTAGATTCTTGTTCTTTGGGGATATTGATTGTGGTAAAAAATTGCACATAATTTCTTGGGATAAAGTTTGCATCCCAAAACACAAAGGAGGCTTAGGTATTCCGTTCATTGTTGCTCTGCAATTTGGTTACAATTGCTCGGTTATTTACAAAATGTATAACTGTTATTCTCCTCTCTCCACGTGGCTCTCTTGCTACTACACTTCCCCGTGAAAGCCTCCTCACTCTAAAGCCTCTAAAATTTGGATCTATGTTTGTAAGACTGCTGCTATTGTCAAACCCAAGTTTCAGTTTAATATTTTGCATAATGCTCCAATATCTTTTCACTGGGATCTTTGGTGTAATAATGCAACATTAATGGATTTCTTGGGCGGGGCTTCTCTAGACCAATTTATCGCTTCTTAAGTTCCTACATTTCGAATTTGCAATTGAACCTTCCTATTACTGCTCCTTTACAGCTGAGGCATATGGTTAGCAACATCCCGATTTCTGTTTCTGGTCCTTGTTTGCTCTGGGATAATCGGAACACAATTAATTTTAGAGATTACATTGAGGAATTTTATGGTGATCTTCCTACTTGTACTTGGTCTAAGCTGGTGTGGCATAAAAAATACTGTTTGAAATACTCGGTTTTTATTTGGCTTGCTCTAGTGGGTGGTTTGAAAACTGCTAAAGCTTTGAGACAAGAAATATTCAGGCCCCGATAAACTGTAGTTTTTGTCACTCCAACATTGAAAACGTTAATCACCTCTTCTTTGAATGTCCGGTTTCTTTTTCTATTCTGAGTAGTCTCATTCCTGAGACTAGGACTTTTCTGCTTAGACCCACGATGCTACATCTTTTACAATGGCTAGATACTGTTTATGTTGGTTCTCCAACGATTAAAAATTACTTTTTGCTGATAATTGGTTGCGCTGTTTATCATATGTGGAAAGAACGGAACAATAGAAGATATGGAAGTGAAATACTTAGCACGTCTTCCCTCCTGATCAGTATTAAAAGAGTGGTTTATGGGAAAGTCTCAAAGTGGAAAAATCATGACAAACAACTTGAAAGAATTTGATATGGCTGGAAGCACTTTCAACAGGTTTTATGGCTGGATCGGATTAGCCTGGACGATGATGATGCTCCGTATGCTCGTTCGTTTATGACTACTCCTTGGATGGTCTCCGGGCAACCAGGAGCTATAGTCTGTTGCTGATTCTTTTATAAATTCTGAGTCCCGGCTAATATTCTTTGGAGCTGTTTTGGGTTACATAGTTTTGTGTTTATTTTGTTTCAGCATATCTATGCTGTTTTTTTGGAACTCTTTTGAGAGCTTACGCCCCTTCTTTTTGCTGGGCTTTTTTGGTAGTTTATAAAAATGTAATTTCTCCGCTTATTAATATATGGGCTTTGCCCAAATTTTTCCAAAAAAAAAAATAATAATAATTTACACTTTTTTACAACGTTTTGAAAATCGGACCGGACCGGCCGGTTCAACCACGAACCGATCCGGCGGGCGGTCCGGGAAGAGGAGGAAACCAGGCAATTTATTAACCGGGTAATAACCGGTTCAAAATCCGGTTGAACGGACTAACTCATGATAGAAGAAAGTGAAGGGAGAAGGGAGAGAAACTGTAGTTCGAAATTTGACGAATTCAAAATGAATCAAGGTATGTTTTTCTTCCGATTAAAGATTGTGAAAATCATCTTGTTTTAAGATCTTGAGGATTTAAGACTTATGTAAATTCATGTTTTCCGTTTCGATTTCTTTTACAAAATTATGATGCGAGTTCATGCAAAGAGTTAGAGAACTCTATGAAGTCTTACATAAGGTTGCTGAAATTGGAGATCAAATGGTCTTGATTTTACTTTTTAAAACCTCAATCTCAATTCTACGTTGATATTCATACTTATTAAGACGAATTATTGGTGACATATCGTAATATATTTGAAATGTTTGAAATTATTTGCATGAAATAAATGCAGAGATTAATATATTATTATTTTTTAATTTGATTTAAAAGTAAAATGAATATGATGAAAAGCTAAAAGATGGTGTTGCCCAACAACAAGCAGGAGGTAGCGATCTATGGTGGCCAACGGGTAGCACAATTGCGACATCGAAGGCATTGGGTAGTTGTGAGCAGTAGTAGTGAGAAGCGGCAAATGTAGATGGGCATGAGGTGATGATTGATGACAAATTGCAACTGCATTAAAAGATAATTTAATAATTTATAGATATTTAAAAATCAACTAAATTTAATGAGTTTTAAATGCACAAAATTAAATTGTTTGGTGCATTCGAAATATTTTAAACTTTTATTCTTCATTTATTTTTATTTCACTGAAAATCCCAATTTGTTTAAAGAACCCGACATGCTACGGGAGTTAAATCTTATTTGCAGCCAAACGACCCCTAAATATTATGTTATTAACGGACAGAGACAAAGTCGAGGCTGAGAACCGGAGTGAAGCTCACTCCTCTGGTCTCTGCTCTCCACCATGACCGCCCATCCGATGCGGTCGCTGAAGTCCTCTGTCGGGACTAAGAACGGCAGCAGCTTCCACGCTGGCGCTTCCTCCTTCCAACAGAGCTCTGCCGCCCGAGTTGCCGAATGCTTCGTGTTCCGCCAAGAAAAGTACTCTACCGGCCTTCACTCGTCCTGGATCAGCCGCCTCCTCTCCACCGCTACCTCCGCTGCAAGCATCCAGTACCCTGCCAACACCTCCTTAGGCGACTTTGTCCCCGGAAAGCTTAACATCTCCTCTGACGAGTCCCGCACTCCCTCTTCCTTCTTCCACAACTCTGACTCCTCCATCATCCATCGATGCCTAGGGTTCGCCCATATTAATCCGACGCCTCCGCCGCCGCTGCCGACGCAGAGGATATCGCGTGGAGATGGAGATGGCCGGCTGGTGGCAAGCTTTGGGCCGTTTAAAGTGAGGGAAATTGGTAAGAGCGCGGAAATGGTTTTTGGAACAGGAGTATTTGTGGGAGAGGAACGGGAAGGGGGAAAGGTTCGAGCTTTGAAGAGGAAGATGGAGGATGAGGCGATTGGGGGTCAGATCTCGCCATTGGTGGTTCAGTTTAGACCCTGTCTGACTAGCGGTGGTGCGGGGATTCTTGAGAAAGGAATAGCAGGTATTGATCCAGTTTCTTCATCCAGGTTGCAGGGTTCTTTTGGGCCATGGAAGGTTGAAGGCAGGCTAAAGACACCGGTTTTTGGTTCTTTTCTTGCGAGTGGCGGTTCCGTTCTAGATGATGCGAGGAGAAGAGGTCTGTTGGTTACTTGTTATTTTGCTGCGTGTGCTTTGTGGGTTATCGATGGGGAAGTATTTGAAATGTTTTTTTCCCTTTTAATTTGATTTTGTACTTTGTAGGTGCTGCATATCGTGATCTTTCTGATTATGGTTCTTTATCTAGATCATTTCGGGTGAGTTTTTTTTTTTTTTTTTTTTTTTTTTTTTTTGGTTTTTTTTTTATATCATTTTGGGTGAGTTTTTTTTTTTTTTTTTTTTTTTAATTTTGCATTTGTTCTTTAAATTGTCACTTTAGATCCGAGCTGTGGGCTAGCTGATGTGATCCGTCTCTAGGTTTGCTCTAACAAAGAAATCTCACTAGGTCCCGTCTAAAACAAAGTTAGGCTTGTTGCTGCTTAGTGTAAGCTGGCTTGATCAATTATCAATTGTAGGTTGGCTTGATGAAATACATATTCGAGTTAGTAATTTGAATTCAACCTCAATCCGATTAAAGAAAATCTTTCAATTTTAGGTTTTATTTTTAAGGCAAAATTTTATTCTGCTGTAAATATACACTTCATAAATAAATAAATATCACTAATGCACATGGAAAAACATATATGCACTAATGTAAAAGTTAAAACTTACATAAATATATTTATGCATGCATGCATTTATATAAGCATTTAAATTTCAATCCAATGTCAAGTAAACGCAATTTGAGTTGTGGCTAGCTTCCTAGTTGGCTCGTTGACTTCTTTTCGAGTTCGAGTTGAAAATTGATTCGATATTTTTGACTATCTTAATTCTTCAAGTAAAATTCACCGATCTATCTCTATATAGCTTAATTTGTTGAATATTTGAATGGTGTTTTTACATCATAATTGTTGTGGGATAGAATATACGCGGCGATAGAGTTATGATCTTACGTCTTAACGTTGCACGGATATCCAGCTCACACATAAATAGCACAAGATTTTTACTTGGAAAACCCTGGAAAGGGGAAAAACCATGGGGTCTGGCCCAGTTGAAAATGATTCCACTAGAATTTGAGTAGGTTACAGTGGGTTGACTCGCCCCCGAGTGCGATCAAATTACAAATATCAACCGTATGGTTAAAGTCAGGGGTAAATGAAAGTCCGACATCACTTGATGGTTTGGTGCAACTTCAGGGTCACCTGGTGATCTGGCAGAATTCCGGCGTCACTACGAAGTTCGGGTGTCAGTTAGTAGAACCTTGGTGTCCGTAGGTGACTCGAAAGAATTCCGGGTCCAGTGAAACTCAGGGCGTCAAGCGGTGGTCCGACAAAACTCAGGGTCTCAGGCGGTGGTCTAGCGGAACTCTGGTGTCAGACTGTCAGGTGGTGGTCCGGCAGAATTCGAGGCGTCAAGCGGTGGTCCGGCGGAGCTTAGGATGTCAGGTGCTGGTCCGGCAGAGCTTAGGACGTCAGGTGGTGGTCCAGCGGAGCTCAGGGCGTCAAGCGGTGGTCTGGCGGAGCTTAGGACGCCAGGTGGCGGTCCGACTGAGCTCAGGGCATCAAGCACTGGAGCTTAGGGCATCAAGCATTGGTCTGGCGGAGCTTAGAACGTCAGGTTGTGGCCCGACGGAGCTTAGAAAGCAGGTGGTGGTCTGGCAGAGCTTAGGACGTTAGTTGGTGGTTCGGCGGAGCTCAGGGCGTCAAGCGGTGGTCTGACGGAGCTTAGGACGTCAGTTGGTGGTCCGACGGAGCTCAGGGCATCAAGAGGTGGTTCGTCAGAGCTTAGGACGTCAGGAGGTGGTCCGGTGGAGCTCAAGGCGTCAAGTGGTGGTCCAGCGGAGCTTAGGACGTCAGGTGGTGGTCTGACGGAACTCTGGGCAGTGGTCGAGGAGGCAAGGAGGCAAGAGCGATCTCCGATCTCTCTCTTGAATCCTTTGGCTTAGGGTTCTTTTTCAAGAGGAAAGAGGGCTCTATTTATAGATTTCTTGGATTGGCATGGCCTGTAAATAGGTGGAAGATCAGGGGCAAATGGGGAGTGGTTTGCATGGACGACTAATGTTGAATCCCTTGATCGGGGACCGTTTGTTGGACATTTGAATGTCTTAGTGATATCACAATTTAGTTATCTTGGGCTCGTTGGATTTGTCTCGTCGAGTCGCTCGATTCTACTATAGGCTCGTCACGTTTGGAAACCGTTTGGTAATCCAAATTGTGGTTCGAACCTTCCAACAGTGCTTCATACCCTTGATTTGTGCCTATTTGGGCTCGGATTGGGTTGAATTTGGTATCGTTGGGTTTGTATTTTCGAGATGTTTAGTTTGACTATAAGTTTGCTGAAATTGGAGTTCGGATGATCCCAATTTTAATTTTGGAAGTTTCTAACTTGATTTTGCCTCGAGATTTGTGCCCGATCAAGATAATTTTTCGAGGATGTATCAATAACCATATTAGTTTTCTTCGTGTTCATATTTATACTGAGGGTATGTTTGGGGCTATTTTTATAGCTTTATTTTACAAATAATTTGTTAAACGTCTATTTGGCTACAACTTGAATTTTTTCTGCCGTTTTTTTTTTTCTCGTGAGAAAGAACTTTTCACAACCAGATTATTAGAGTGTTGTAGGTATAAGATAATTTATGCCTTTTTTTTTTAAGGAAAAAAGACTATAACGCACATAATAGTTTTCAAAATCTTTATTTTCTCATAAAGTTTCGCAACTAATTTTACAAAAAAATATAGTTGTCTCAAACGATCTCTTATTCTGTTTGAGTACTTTGATCCTTCTTTCATCTTAATGGCCTTTTTACAACTTGAGGGCACATTTCCTTGTTGCTTCTCCACTTTCTCTTCCATCCACCTCTTTTTAGTGTTGAATAAATTGTGGTAGGGAGGGTGGGGATAGGAAGAATGCAGAACACACATGACAGATTTGAGAATACTCAAAATAGTAAAATTACTCATTATGGAAAAGGAAAAAAAATTATCCTGCAAAATTCAAGTTGTTGAGGTGCAGGTACGAGACTCTTACTTGATGTTCGAACTGTCACCATAAACATCACATCACTTGTTGAGTTTGAGAAAATATTTGGATTGTTTGTAGTTGTATGAACCCATGGTGTTATTTTTCATTAGAAAGTGGAAATGATCATAGGTCAAAACCAAATAGAATTGGTATTTTCATTTTCAATGTGAGCATACATGAAATGCTAGATGTAAGTTTCAAACATAACATAAGAAATGCTTTGAAGCAATGAACCTTAGAAAGTATAAATTGTTTGTGTTTTTCATAATCATGTATCACCACTTTTGTGCTGACACCTTTTCCACCTTCCTTCTCCTATTCTTCCTCTTATCTTTTATTTTTAACTTGAGAGATTGAGAACTTAGGATGTGTATGTTGGTTATTTGTGAATTGAGAGAGGTTGAAGGATAGCCTTGATCTCTAGAATGTGAAAATAGGCTTATGAATCTTAGGTTAAGATACCTTGGTCAACATAAATTATAAATTTATAATGTTTTTTCTTTTTCTATAGATGGGGCTGCTAAACTAGTTAGTTTAAACTGAATGGGTAGATCTCAGCTATTGTACATGTGTTCAGATATAAGAAGAAGAGGGTGTTTATTCAGTAAAACCAAATTGAGCACGTCGTTCCCACGTTCCCATGTCGGCTACACGTTGCAATTGAGGCAATTGCTTTTCGATCCCTATAAAATGGAATTGAAACAAAAATAAGAAGTTAAGCTCACTTGCAATTGGAATTCTGGTCTCTCTCTCTCTCTCTCTCTCTCTCTCTCTCTCTCTCTCTCTCTCTCTCTCTCTCGTGATCCTGTCCAAATCCTAAACCTCCTATCTCCCCGCTCGACAATTCATACATGCCAATGGCTTTCCCGATTCCGACCTCACGTTCGAGTTCGACACCCACATGCGACACCTCCTGAACCCAACTCCACCTAGCACAGTCAAATGCGCCTATTGCCCGTCTTCCACACGCTAATGACCCGGCATGAAACGTGAACGAAACTTGCGTCGCCTGCCTGAGTGTGGCTTCTGCCTTTGCCTTACCGGCGTCTGATCAGTCTTTGAATACAACAACTGGGCTCCGAATCCGAACCCTGTGCAACCTCCCGCTTTCCTCTTGTTTGTTCGCCTCTTGTGCAAGAACGAACCCTCGGCCAGGCGAGCTACCCACCTGCGACACATCCCAAACTTGAGTTCACCTAGCACGGTCAAATGTGCCTGCTGCCCGTCTTCCAAACGCCAACGACCCATCATGAAACACGAACGAAACCTACATCGCCCACATGTGTGTGGCTTATGCCTCTGCCCTACCGGCGTCTGATCAACCTTTGACTACAACAACTAGGCCCCGAATCCGAACCCGTGCAACCTCCCTCTTTCCTCTTGTTTGTCAGCCTCCTATACAAGAACGAACCCTCGGCCATGCGAGCTACCCACCTGCGACACCTCCTGAACCCGACTCCACCTAGCACGGTCAAATGTGCCTACTACCCGTCTTCCACTTGGCAACTACCCGACATGTAACGTGAACGAAATCTGCACCGCCCGCCTGTGTGTGGCTTCCGCCTCTGCCCTACCAGAGTCTGATTAACCTTTGACTACAACAACTGGGCCCCGAATCCGAACCATGTGCAGCCTCTCACTTTCCTCTTGTTTGTCCGCCTCCTGTACCAGAACTAACCCTCGGCCATACGAGCTACCCACCTCCGTCTGCCCCCAATCCCGCCTACGACATCTGCCTCTCTCCCGTTCGGCTCTCACGACTCTCTCTCTCTCTCTCTCTCTCTCTCTTAGGTGCCCGACTCCTTTGCATTCGCCAATCAGACGAATTGATCCACCTCCCTCCATAACCGAACAATGAACAAGGCCCAATCTTCTTGTTTTTTGATTTGAAACGATGAGTGAGGAAGAAGAGGGATTTATTATATGTCATCATTATTATTAATAAAAGTAAAACTAAAAATAAAAATAATTAATAATAAGAATTATTATTATTATTAATATGCGATTGCCAAATCGGAGGCCGCGATCATTAAAATGGAGTCGAAGACTAATTCCGGGGTCGATTCTTCCCCCGAAGCCTTCGATTGTCGATTTTGATCCAATCGAGAGGACCTAAAAAGGATAAGTATTCTCCCCAACCGCCCCTCACTGGGAGGGGGTGTCAAAAGACTAATGAAATTCTAGGAAAGCGCCA